CATTGTTACGGTCACTTAGCAAATGCACATATTTCGATCAGTTTCGATAATAGAATGAAAAAAATAAAAAATTTAAAAATTATTTTTCAAAACATTGGTCTAAATTACTAAAATATCTTGAAATATTTCGAAATAATTATGCAAATACATTGAAATATAACAAAACATTTCAAAAATTATGAAACACCTCGAAGTATTAGAATTTCGATTCCATCATTGATTTGTTTCGATCTTCTTAAAAATAGAAACGTTTCGAATGTTTCGACCATTTCGAAACGATATTTTAATTCTTAATTTTACTTTAATTTATGATAAATAATTTATCATTAATAAAAATTATACGAAAAAAATAGATTGACGGGATTCGATTCTCCTCGTGAAATATTTAGGGGCTGGTTGTTGCAAGGGTATGGGCTGGTCTATAGAAGATGGGTTTAAAAAAATAGACCCATCCCTTACCCAATCCCTTGTTTGGATGCAAAAATTGAAGATTGGACTGAAGTCCTCGCCTGGACTTGGCCCAACTTCTTAAACCCATGAAAGTGGGTTTTAACCATCCCAGGGGGAGGGGTTCGAAGAGCCAAACTGGTTTGGAATGAAAGATTATATTTGTACCCCCTCTTGGTTTGGAATGAAGGATTATATTTGTACCTCCTCTAAACCCATTTCTTGTCTACCCTATGAATGTACCATAACTTGTTGGTTTATTAAAACAAATATTTGAGTTTTGTGAATGCGAGACACAGCATGATCCCCATTTGGGTGCATCATTATGCTGTGTCATTTAACAAAATCAACTTCAAGCATTAATTTTCCCAGGATAATTAAAGATATAATTTATTTCTGCATGTACAATTGTTTTGTATATTTCGGAATGTTGAATGCTATTTTATAAGAACGTTTTGTAATATTAATTTTTGAACTATATAGAAAAAAAAAAATTTATTGTGGTTATGCAAGATACATAACATTTTTATTAGTATTGATGTTTGACATTATAAGTTGGGAAAAAAAAATCCCAAAATATTAAGTTCGTAAGTTAACTAAAACAAAAACAAATGATTCAAATAAATATGAATTTGGATTGGATTGGTCAATGGACAAAATAGTTATTTACGTGATCAATGTATGATTATAATGGTGATAAATTTGGGAGTCCCACATATGTACATGCTGCTTATCAAACACGACTATAGACCGTGTTTATCTTTTAGGGCATGTGTTGTTTCGAGTATAAAATTTATGTAGTATAAAGTTTTTATNTATGTACATGCTGCTTATCAAACACGACTATAGACCGTGTTTATCTTTTAGGGCACGTGTTGTTTCAAGTATAAAATTTATGTAGTATAAAGTTTTTATATTCATTCCATTCTAATCTAATAGTATATTATACCCGGTGTTAAACTATAATTCCATCATTCTCCTTGTTTGTTTATCACAAATATTATCTGTATAATACCTACTTAAAAAAATCAACAATTGCGGTTAACCAATGTAAAAGACAATTTTAACCTTTAAAAAGTTAAAAATTACGGCTAGACTTTTATATGCGAATTGTACCGGAGGGTATTTCAGTATTTTTAGTTTATAATACCTATACCAAGAATATAATACTATCCCCTATGTGATATTCATTAAAACCTTATACAAGGCATTATGACTACTGTTCATAGCAGGTCGGTATTACGATCCAAAAAATAGTACTGACTATAAAATGTTAAACAAACAACGTATAAGATGAGTCTTATATACTATTTTCCTAATACCACCTCCTTATATTACACTAATACTCAAAACAAATGACCCCATAAAAGATTAGATTCGGAAGGGTTTGGATTGGTTTGATAAAACCAGTTTAATCCCTCAACCAAATTCCATCCAATACAAGTTAATTTCTTATTGGAACGCTATTTGTACGTAAAATGTTGATCTAATCAATCATAATTATCAACTTAATAATAAATTTCAATAAATATTAGGATCCATTATTAAATCAATTATAATAATCGATAAAGACAACAAATCATGATAAAGTTTAAAGTCCAACTAACATACCATACCAATCCCAATCCCGATCCCAATCCCCATACCCCAAACCCGAATCTAGAAACCCTATTCTGAACCATAGAAACCCTAATAACAGAAAAAGTGGGTCCCACAATACTGTCACCCAAACTACCAATTTCAGGGCGCCCAAAAAACCAAAAAAAAGATAAACATAACCAAGTCCGATGAAAAAAAACCATCAATTTCTTCCTCAACCCACAGATACACTGCATAACTGCGTATATAATGTGGGAAAAATGACACTTTCATCCCCCTAATTATGCCTTGGTCTTATTTTTCCCAATTAACTATAAACCGAACTAAATGAATTGTTCGCACATTTTCCCAAATTAAAGTCTCTCATGTTATGTTTTGAACAAGAAATACCACGTGTGTAGTTAAAAATCACTATTAGTTGGTATTTTTATTTATACATAAATGAAGATAGATGCATTCGTCATAGTTTCAACATTGTGACAAACCCATGTCAAATATATAGTAGATTTGTGCAATTAAGACCTTAATGTGACTTGATTTTGATTACGATGTATGATGATGAAAGGAATTTATTATCAATCTTAGAGTCGACAAACTTTTTTAATATAAAAAAATAAGCTTAGTTTACCAATCATCGACACTCCTGACCGCATGACAAATCATTGGAACAATGCAAGGCCAATAACTTTGTAATGCAATACAAAAATTATAATAATTGAAGGCTGTATTGTAAGGTTAATAACCCTAATTAGAGGTATAATATAAAAAATATGATAGTTGAGAGAATAATATAAAATATGAGACATAATTGAGAGGTCAAAGTATAATTTAACGTATTTATATGCCCAATTTTCTTTTTAATTTTTCTTAGAGAGAGAGAATGAGAATCAAGAATAAGTAAATATTCGATGTAACGGTGACACTATCTAATTAAAAAATTAAAAATAGATAAAGTGAGTTATATTATTTTCATAATTATCAATAATCATTACTTTTAATCAATAACTGGTAGGATTAGTGAGACCAACTTTATTTATTTGTTGTCTTTAATGATAATACTATTCTCAAAAAAATAAAATAAAATAAAATAATAATATCATATGATACAATGTCANGATAAACATAACCAAGTCCGATGAAAAAAAACCATCAATTTCTTCCTCAACCCACAGATACACTGCATAACTGCGTATATAATGTGGGAAAAATGACACTTTCATCCCCCTAATTATGCCTTGGTCTTATTTTTCCCAATTAACTATAAACCGAACTAAATGAATTGTTCGCACATTTTCCCAAATTAAAGTCTCTCATGTTATGTTTTGAACAAGAAATACCACGTGTGTAGTTAAAAATCACTATTAGTTGGTATTTTTATTTATACATAAATGAAGATAGATGCATTCGTCATAGTTTCAACATTGTGACAAACCCATGTCAAATATATAGTAGATTTGTGCAATTAAGACCTTAATGTGACTTGATTTTGATTACGATGTATGATGATGAAAGGAATTTATTATCAATCTTAGAGTCGACAAACTTTTTTAATATAAAAAAATAAGCTTAGTTTACCAATCATCGACACTCCTGACCGCATGACAAATCATTGGAACAATGCAAGGCCAATAACTTTGTAATGCAATACAAAAATTATAATAATTGAAGGCTGTATTGTAAGGTTAATAACCCTAATTAGAGGTATAATGTAAAAAATATGATAGTTGAGAGAATAATATAAAATATGAGATATAATTGAGAGGTCAAAGTATAATTTAACGTATTTATATGCCCAATTTTCTTTTTAATTTTTCTTAGAGAGAGAGAATGAGAATCAAGAATAAGTAAATATTCGATGTAACGGTGACACTATCTAATTAAAAAATTAAAAATAGATAAAGTGAGTTATATTATTTTCATAATTATCAATAATCATTACTTTTAATCAATAACTGGTAGGATTAGTGAGACCAACTTTATTTATTTGTTGTCTTTAATGATAATACTATTCTCAAAAAAATAAAATAAAATAAAATAATAATATCATATGATACAATGTCACCGTTGCAACGAATATTTTCTCCTTGTTTGCATATCTCCTGCTCACTGTTTTTACAATAAAAACTCAAAATAAATCGGCAAAAATAAATTATATATATATATATACACATAACATGGATACATAAGTAGTATAATTGTAATTTATTTTATTTCCGCCTATGCTCTCTCTTTCTCTCTTCCTTCTCGTTCTCTCTTCCCTTCGCCAATTGACAAAGCTCTGTTCTTTGCTCCAGGTCTGTGTTTCTCATTCGATCTAAGCTTTTGATATTCTTGTTTCAGGATTTTTTAATTTTTTTTTCTTGTATACAGTTGGTTTTTTCCATTTTAGGGTTTGGTGCTCATGAGGGTATTTTTTGGGTTATTGTGTGATGATCTTTCTTTGAATTGTTTGCTCAATTGATTATTTGGGTGTTGGTTATTTTGAGTTTTAACAAATTGGATTCATGCATGCGTTTTTTTTACGGTTTTTTTTGTTGTTAGTCCGTTGATTTTTTTTTACAATCTTGATTGGTTTTGAGAGTTTTTTGAAATTGTTTGATTAGGGTTTATGGAAATTTGTGTTTCTGGATTTAGGGTTTTAGTTTTGTGGATTCTGGGAAATGGGTTTGGGAAATTCTTTGATGCAATTCTATAACTGGTTTTTGAATCTATTAGTTTGAAGAATTGGAAATATGTCGATTTTGGGGAATCTTTCAATTGTTTTTCAAAGGGGTGATATGTTGGATGTTTTTAGTGACTTGGCTTTTCAATTACTATAACCGAAGATGTATTGAGTATTGCATGTGGTGATTTTTTTTTCTTTTTAAAAGTAAGCTCAGTTTGGCAAACGGATTGATTTAGCTTTCTGTGGTGGCCTGTCAAATCGGAGTGTGGGGGGAGTTTTGGAGTGGGAAATGGCCGGGAGTGTGAGTGCGGAGTCTGGAGTTGGAAAATCTGTGGAGGGGATTTCAAGTGGGCAGCTGCATTGCCAATCTGGGGATGCATTGGTGGAATGGCGGTATTCTGAGCAGGTGGAACATGGAACCCCATCAACTTCGCCGCCTTACTGGGACACCGACGACGACGATGATGATTGTGGTATGCCGTTACTCTCCTTCAATCTTGTGTACTCTGTTAGTTTGTGTTTTTTAAGTATTTCCATTTGTTGGTCATAATGTGGCATTGCTCTCCTCATTTTTTTGACCTGTTGTTGAGTGTTCAATTCAGCTGAGTATTATGGAGTAATTTCAGACATAAGGTACTCTCTGCAGTTTTTTTTCTTTGGGATTATGTGAAGTTTTATGCTGACCAGCTTTGAGACTAGTACAGGAGAGTCATACTACCTAAGGGTTGAATATGAATGAGATGGAGCTGCCAGGTGCTCCAGTTGACAATTACATGTTGGCTGTGACTAGCAAGTAGCTTGAAAAAAAAATTCCAACTTGTGTGTACATACTACATATTACTACTTATTAGAGTTTGAAACACACAGTACTTTACTAGAGCACCATATTTTTCATGGGCAAAGGACCTTCTCTTATCATATTGTTGCAATATTATCAAATCTTTTGGGTGGAGTCATTAAATCCACTGGGTTTAGTCAAAAAAAAGTGTGTTATGCTTATATAGTTAAGTCATTGCCTAACAAATTTTTTCCTTGTCTAAGAATCCTTTCCATTTCTGGTTTTTGGGGAAACTTTATGGTATTATGTGTCCCAACATAAATTATACCATGGAGAAGAAAATAGATAAAGCAGGGAAGAATGGAATCTCATACTGAACGGGGAAAGAAACTCAAGTTATTTTGGAAGTATTGTTGAGGCTGATGTGATTAAATTCAGTGAATATGTCTTCATCTGGAATGTGGATAAAGATGTTGCTTGGAGCAGTTACCTTCATTTCAATGCGATAATATGTAATGAATAAGAAGAAAGGAGGTGTTTTTTGTGCAAGCTCTCTTGCTGGCTGATTAGTCAGTTTACCTGTTAGTTGATGCGTATGTAGGAAATGAGTACAGATTTTGTAGCCAAGCTGGCTTCCTAGCAAGAAGCAACATTTGAGTGTTGTCAAGTTTTGCATTACAATTGAAATTAATATATTACGATGGGAAAACTAGGAAATGCATAAGCACTATATTTGGGATAAATGAACCTTTGTGGGAAGCTGTTGGCTTCTGAATTAGGGGTGGCAGTTAATCAGCACGAAATAATCCTTAACTGGAAACAGATGATAATGTTATGTGCTGGTCCATTGTTCTTTGCTTAATTATTGCTCATCATCCTCTAGGATTTCCAAATTGTCTTACTGAAAGACCGGTTTAAGAATTTCATCTAGAGCAGCTGTCCAAAATAAATGATGCCATGTTTGTGTCTCAGAAATTGCCAAATCACCTTTATTGGAGCACTTTTGTCTTCTTCAGTCTTCCTCTATCCCACATCCTGATAATTCATCCATACAGAATTTTATTACTCGTTGATAGCAAGGCTTCTTTTCTTCTCCTACAACTTATCCTACTTTCTCGAGGAGTTCACCTCTGAATGTAATTTCCAATAGTTTGAATTGAAGTGCACTTTCAGAATGTTAAGTTTGGGTTAACCAGAACTTTCTCTTTGAAACATAACTATAGCCCTGTGGCTTGTGTACTGATTCTGGAATCTCTTAATATGCACCTTTTCCCCCTACTTTCTTTTTCTTTTGGTGCAAATATCAGTCTTCTTCTTCTTTCTTTCTTTCTTTTTTTCTTTTTAATCTTTCATTTTCCTTGTATGCCTTTACCAAATGAATTGAATCGTTCAGTTCATAGATGTTTGGAAAACATTCTGTGAAAGCAAATAGCCTCCAGGACTCATGCGCTCCTCTCTAAATGGGGCCTGGATGTAGACTAATACTGAAGGGGCAGCCTTTTTGTGTAGGCACTTATAATAATATCCTTAGTTATCCAATTACTTTGCAGGACCAAAGCCTTCTGAGTTATATGGAAAGTACACATGGAAGATTGATAAATTTTCGCAGATCAACAAGAGAGAACTTCGCAGTAATCCATTTGAGGTTGGAGGCTACAAATGGTATGATGCTCTATAAACAAAGAATAGTTTTTCAAGCATGCTTTTTTTTTTTCTTTTTTTCTCACATGTTTTTCTTTGCACTGGTCATGTATTCTCATTCTTCAGATATGTAATCAGAATATGATGATTGTGTTATAGTTAACTTTTAGACTTTTACCCATCAGGGTTGTTCACTTGGGAAGACTGTAGTGACTCTTACCTTGAGGTCCATGTTCTGCCCTCGTGAGAGATCCTTATTTACTGGATGCATATGGTTTGCTTGTGATTGCGCATAAGTGGAGTTTGAGTTTCAACCATGAACTCAAGGGGAGTGTAGTTGGGATGGCTTTCATTGCCAGTATAAACACACACACATAGAAATCCACATTCTGATATATGGAAGCCATACAGTCTCTTAAATTATTCATAAAGACATAGATGCATGTTTGTACACACACACACACACACACACACACACACACTCTCTGAGAGGGAGAGAGAGATGGAGAGATTTAGATTTATCGATGCTGTACTGTAGCATGTGTTTCTTAAAGTGGTCATAAATCTATGTTTTGCAGTTGCAACAACTTGATTCTGTAAATAAGTTTCATTTGGTAACAGGGTTTATTGCTATTTCTTCCCTATGCATACATGAATTTCTCGTCTATTCTTCTGGTTTAAATGAATTTCTCGTCTATTCGTCTATTCTTTGGTAACAGGGCGTACTTTTGAGCTTTTACTAATTTATATGGGTGAAGGCAGAGGATTGATAGGAATTGGATTTGGAATTTGGTCCACAGATAGGCTTCTGCCTACCTGTAATACACTTGAGTGAAAGCCTGCTGTTGGTTCATGTCTCAGACAGATCGTAGTCGCATCAAATTTTATGTTTCGGGGTCAGATATTATGTTTCTGATATTTTTAATATGCTTGGGTGGGGGCCTCGTGCAATAAATTTGAGATTTGGCCTGTTGGCTCGTGCTTTGTTTTTGCTGCATCACTGTATGCAACATTTTCGTGACATTTGGTTATGGGTATTGAGTTCTCTTACTTATTTTTCAGACAATGAGGACGCCTTGCTGTCCCTATTGTAATGGCATCTTGTTTGTTCCATTTTAGATATATAGAAATGTGATATCAGTGAGATGATGCAAGTAGTTGCTGCACATTAATTTAGGCACCTTGGGATGGGTGGCAGGTACATTTTGATTTACCCACAAGGCTGTGATGTCTGCAATCATCTCTCTTTGTTTCTCTGTGTTGCTAACCATGACAAGCTTCTGCCAGGTATAATGGTATTGAATTCATCATGTGTAGGTTGGTTTGGTTTGGGTTCAAGTTGATATCATATGGTTACTCTTTGTGTGAAACAGGGTGGAGTCATTTTGCGCAGTTTACAATAGCTGTGGTGAATAAAGATCCAAAGAAATCTAAGTATTCTGGTTAGCTTGTTAGATATAGCGTTGTAATGGATTTTCTGATCGTGATGTTTTAAGCATTAAAGCACTAAACACAAAATTTTCAGATACATTACATCGGTTCTGGAAGAAAGAACATGATTGGGGGTGGAAAAAATTTATGGAGCTACCGAAAGTGTACGACGGGTTTATTGATGCTGACACTGACACTCTTGTAATTAAAGCTCAAGTCCAAGTTATTAGGTACTTTGCAAGTCATTTTTCAACAGAGCTTGTCGGTCTTTGTTTTCTGTCTTGATTTCGCTGTTGATATCAAATGCTATCTGATATAACATGTTGAGTGGATGAAATTTTGATCAGGCTTCCGTGAAAAAAAGTTTCATCCTTTAACTTTTTTGCGGTATGCTGCCTTACCCTGGTTGGTTTTTTCTCTCTTGTAGAAGGGTTATGTGATTATTTAGAGTCCCCTTTTTATCCCGTTTTGAACCTTTTGTCATTTTAGTTATTTTAATGCTTAAAAAGCATCTTCATTATAAATATTATACTGAAGTTGGCTCAAAAGTAAAGTCATTTTTTAAATTCATCTTGAGAAATGAACATCAGCCACATAAATTTTTAGCATGGGGGGAGGGGAAAGTATTGGGTGGCTGGAAATACATTTACCATGGTAGATGAGCAAGAAGTACTGCAGACCATAATTCACAACTCCTACACAATTACGAAGAACCCTTTTTTGCTCCTGAACACAAGGGGAACTATTCTAGTATACTTTTTATGTTGTATGTATTGTCGCCATAATTATTGCTATAGAAGAATTATTTCCCAAGCTTAAGATTAGATGGAAGTTAATTATCATCCTCTCTCAGTGTTTAATCAATCTAGATTTTTGCATAACTGTTATATTTGTGTTCATATTGTCATCATTAGAGTTAGTATTCATGGAAAAATTTTCCCTCAAGCTTAGAATTACATGTTAGTTTATTATCATCCATTCTCCATGTTTCACCACCTAACATTCTCACGTATCACTTGCAATTCTCTCTGTCCGTCCGCATTGTTGGTGCATAGGACATAAATATCGGTATTGTAGAAACCCCTAGGCGTTAGCGTCCCACGAATTAGGGTTGCATGACCCGAAATGGTGTGGGTTTGCGATCTCAATTGCTCAAAGTCACCCCAAATTATTACTCAAACCGCAATTGATTCATGATCTAAGTAATCTCATATCATAACCCCAACTCTAAATCATAACTCTTAACTTGTTATTTCTTTATTTTGGTGTTCTTTAAACTCATACTTTGACTACATTTATCAGAAATATAAAATAAATATTTATTGACTGTGTATATGCATACGTTGTTTTGTTTGGAAGTTACACAACGAACTATGACCCAAAATAGCGTACCAATTAGGCTTAACCCCATTGTATCGCGTATTGGAAGAAGTATTGTACCTCATACCCGTACTACGTACCAAATCTATCCGCGATCCAGGTAGCATACAGCATGACTGTTTTGAATATGGCAAACATGGCCCCACAGAACTATTGTTTACAATGCCTTGTGCCCTTGCTTTTGTCCCAACAGTTATTCTAAGTACTCTTGTTTATAACGTCTGCCCTTAACTGTCTTCCTCATAAACTCAGGCATAACTCGAGGTTTGCCTTTTGCACCTCTTTTCACCTTCTTTCATGGGGCATATGACTCATGATTAGCTAATGGCTGCATATAGTATTGCCGGACAACTTATTACTATTAATAGTATTTTGTTATCTTCGCATATTTATTCATGTGTTTTTATTGAACCTAGAGGTGGAGCTGCCCCCACTGACTTTTGAGGAAGTCTGTATGTTTACTATAATGAAAACATCAGTATGTTTAATTTATTCCATTGCCCCTTAAGGATTTTGAATATTTGTATAGTGGCCCTGGTCTCTTTTCTTTTCAGTAAGTTAGGGGTCCACTTCCCCTCTAACCTACCAAAACATTTTTTTTTTGTGTTGAGTAAAACACATGTGAAATGTGCTAACTTGTATATATTGACCAAACAAAATACCATTGGCATTTAATGCACCATCTCTTTTATTTTAGGAACGTGATATTTTTTGGTAAGTTAGTAGTTCGAAACACAGTAATACACGAATTGATGCAAGTGGTAAAATATGCTAACCCACATGTGTTTTTGCTCTTCCAAAAAAATCATTTTTTCAACAAAACGGATGAGGGACTCAACTAGGTTTCACAACAAGGTAAATGATGATTTTTTACGGACTCTTTGATTGGGTACATTTAAAATATTACTGAGAAATTTAGCATAGAGTTGATCAATTATAGATGATTCTTGGGATTTGTATCAGCGTCGTCATGTACTAATTTAATATATGATTGTGTTGAAATGTGATATTAAAAACTAATTGTATTTGTTTGTGCACATTTTGTTAATGCTAAATTGATACTACTTTTAATTTTCATAGTTGTGGATCTTAATATATTTCTCATACTTATGAATTTCTTAAAACGAAAATAACACCCAATCTAGTCCTTGTTCATGAAGGTCTGGAAATTTTTTAATACCAGCTGATTAATTTTTTCCATTCATGTTTTCATCCCCGCTGAAATAGAATCCTTGCTCCACCACAGATTGAACCACATAATCATTGTGTTTATTTTTATGGACAATCTTCTTGTAAAATAACTAATAAGAAGTAGTACTTTTCTTTAGTATGTTGTTCTGGTATTGTATAACATGTTTTCATTTGATATTTATTCATGCAAATTGACTTGCAATATCACTAAATGTTCTAAATTCTCACATTTTATATTTTTTTATTGTTTGTAATAATTTTAAACTTTCAGTTTTTTTAGCCTTTTCTATATGTTATCGGTAGGGGTGTGCACCCTACCCTACTGGTAGGAATTAAGGTATTCTATCTTTCTACCTGATACTTTGTGGAAGAATTTTTTCTTGGCCTACTCTACCCGATCAAATGTACTATTCCTACCCGAATTCTACCCAAAACAATCGAGTGAACACATTTTTTAGTTATTTATTTTGGATAATTTTAACAATTTAATTAAGTAAACCTGCACCAATTAACTAATACACTGGTCCAACGTTGCTTGATTATTTGCCTTTTAAAGCTATAGTTTGGACCAGTGTTTCATTGGCTTGTAAATATCTATTTGAAAGGTTGTAAACGTCTTCATGAATGTAACTTTTTGTGGTCTCATACAGATCGATACATTTCTTCCTCTTGCTATGACCTTGATTCTAATTTCTAAAGAAAACTTACTTGTTTTGGATTTTTGAACATAAATTCATTGTTACAATAACCAATTCCAACTTATGCTGTTGGTTTGTAGGGAGAGAGCAGACCGTCCCTTCCGTTGCCTTGACTGTCAGTATAGACGAGAGCTTGTTCGGGTTTACTTGACAAATGTAGAGCAAATTTGTCGCCGTTTTGTGGAAGAGAGAAGAGGCAAGCTTGGGAAGCTGATAGAGGATAAAGCTAGATGGGCAAGGTAGAGGATGTTGGTTTTCATGCATATTGTTCCACGGGTGAACATATACATTTTTGAAATATATGGTTGTTGGAGTGGCTCAAATCAAATGCTCCTTTGGTTCCTATTATCATTGATTCTTACATAGTTCTGGTTTCTGTTGTCTTGGCTGTTTTTTGAGTGAGTCAGAATGTTGGTTTTATTGTCATTATTGTTACTTAATATAGGACATTTTCACAACATGCACATCAGGAAAAACATATGATACTTGATGCCTATTATCATTGATTTGTTGTCTGCCGTCTATAAACAATTTCTTTTCCTTCTTTTTACCCTGTCCAGCCATGCTTTATCTTTTGCTGTTATATATCTTCAGATTTGATTATCTTTTCATATATTTCAATATACAAACAGTAAGTTGTGATAATTTCAGCTTCTGTGCATTCTGGCTTGGAATGGACCAAAATGCTAGGCGTCGCATGTCCAGGGAGAAAGCAGATTCAATATTGAAAGTTGTTGTAAAACACTTCTTTATAGAAAAGGAAGTGACATCTACTTTGGTAATGGATTCCTTGTATAGTGGACTGATGGCTCTTGAAGGTCAGACTAAGAGCAAGAAAGGTAGAGGGAAATATTTGGAAGCTGAAGAATTACCGGTTCCTATAGTTCACACAGAGAAGGATATGTTTGTTTTGGTGGATGATGTGCTACTTTTGCTTGAGAGGGCTGCCATGGAACCCTTGCCTCCAAAGGATGAGAAGGGTCCTCAGAACCGTACAAAGGTGAGCAATGCAACATGCGATTGTTAATTTTGTTTCTTTTTAGTAAACTTGATTATGTCTCTTTGCTTGGGTAGTATCTCTAGCCAACCACAAAGGGGTAGGTGCTGGGCTGCAAGCAGCTGATTGAACAGGGTGATTCACTGGGGGCCGCGCGTTTACTACTGGTTGTTATAGTCCTAACAGAAGTAGTATATTTGGTTACTGCTTGATGGAGACCATAAATAGCTGAGTGTATTGTTTTCGGCTTGTGAACTTGCAAGGCCATTATGAAAGATGGAAACGATTGAGGGCCTTTTCCACCTTAAGCTGATCCGTTTCTCGTCAAATAAAGGAAAAGAAGATAGAGGGTAATATATTGTAACCAAGCAGGGTTGGGAATCTGGTGTCTGCTTTTGTCATGAAAGTGTGATATTTAAAAGAATTAAAAAAATTTATAGAACGCTGGGGTATAGTATGTATCATAGAGCAGAATCTTTGGAACTTGACAAATGACGTGATGTTGCAATGATGAGGTTTGGATTGAATTATGAGTATCCTGGATGGTCAGATTAGAAATATTTCAGGTTTGCATGTTGAGAAATTTAGGAGTCGAGCAGAAAGTGATAAAGGGAATGGAATAACATTTTACAATGATTTGATTTGGTTAATGATAGGTAATGACTTGAGTGAGACACATATTGTTCTATTTAATTTAATAATAGTGTATTCTGATTAAGATGCTATATAGTGTGTTGAAAATATGGCTGGGTAGTGGATATGTTAGAATGCCAAAAAGTTAGGATTAGTTTTGTGCTTATTTTTCTTTTGTGGATCCTTTAAAAAAAGTAGAATGCGAAGATAACAGAAAATACTAATGGAAATAATTATTGTTAACTCTGAATAGCATCGTGTTATGCTTTCCTGATGCACATGCTGTGGATTGATGTAGCATATCATGCATGCATGTATTGGATTATGTTTTAAGTGGCTCAGGTTCTTATGCTTTCTTTTTATTGCTTTTATGTTCCTACCTGTCTTAACAAATTCATTCAATTATTTGTTGGCTCTGCTATTCTTATCCTTTACATGTTAGGATGGGGGTTCTGGGGAGGATTTTAACAAAGACTCCATTGAGCGTGATGAAAGGCGTCTTACTGAGCTGGGTCGTAGGACCATCGAAATATTTGTGCTAGCCCATATTTACAGGTAATCAATTATTAATTGTAGTCGCTTTGGAAATCTTCTTTCCCCTTGCTCCATTGTATAACTGTTAGGTTAGCTGCGCCTTTCTTTAAACTTACAAACTTGTTATTAAGAGTGAATTATTGGGAAAGGAGTGTATGCTGTTTGTAATTCTAAGTTCAGACCATCTTGTTCTTAGTCTTTCACTCCAACTCGTATCTGTGATAGTATGGGCCTGCGATTTGACTTCCCTTTCTGAATTCATTATCTATTCTTGATAACTATACATCATTCTAGTTAAAAGAGGATGGGCACCTCAAATTTTTAGGTCTCCCCTCCCAGATAAAATGTGTTGGAACACAATAGGATAAAAGTTTAAGATTCGTTTTTAGTTAGTTTTTTTTTATTTTTTTGGGGCGGGGGGATGGAATACTGAATTATGTATGACAAAATTTATTTCTGAAAGGCCTTATTGTCTTTATGGACGAAATGGGTTTCTTTCCCTTTCAGGTTCCAAAAGCAATCCCTTAGTATGGATCAGTAAGTTAAGTTTCTGGCCGCATGTGGGATGAGGAGATTGACATTCGCTCAAAGCTAAATGCTAATGCAAAGTGCCCTTTGCTTTAAGAATTCTAGCACCAGCGCATTCCTTTTATTTTCAACAATGTAATGAAATCCTCTCGGATTACGGAATAATCACGTACCACTCCATTAGCCATGTGGGAAGTATTAGTAAGGACAGTGTGAACATCATTTGATTGATGTTTATGTTTCAACAGGGTGGTTTTATCCTTAATTAAACTTATTTTTTCAACAAATAGTAACTTGCTTATATTTCTCTGTGCAGAAGCTACAATGTGAGTGTGATTCTATTTCCCTGTCAATTTCTTTTTATCAATGGTAAAATTCATCTTCGAAAAGAGAACATCATTGGGAATAATATATTGCTAGTATTCTTCTATTGCGGAAGCAATATGGTGACATCGTAGTCCTTTTTCATTATAAACAAGTTGATCAATGGTAAAATTGTGATTTCAAAATAGAACATCATCAACTATTTTTGTTTGTTAGTTTAGTTGATTTTGGAATTCTATTCCTCATTTTGAAAATTTGTTCTAAAAACTGAGTTTGAAACTGTTAACATATTATACGATAAATGGATTCCCTAGTGGATTGTTGGAACATTCTGATGAAGAAATATGTCTAACACAGCGTGTAGCATATGCATTATTCGAGGGATCCAACCGTGAGATTTTAAGGGCAGCAAAATATAGCAATACTTTAGGCATCTGAAATCTTTTATTGTTTTTTGCTCGGGAGGAGTTTTCAAATCTGATAGTTGGATGGTCTGTTTACGTGGTTGCGCTGTTTTACATTTGACATGAGCAATCTGGTGGTTAGTCTAATTCTCAAGTTAAGTAGGGTCATAGGCTAGATATTTATCTTTAGCGATCTTGCCTTTAGGAAGAAAACAAGCTTGGGAATATAGGCCATTGCCAAATTTAGTTACATTAATGAAGATAATAGGTTTTTAGATGGATTCTTAAGATATCTTTTCATTATTCTTTTAGGTATTTCAGCATTTCTATCTTTTTCATTTTGTTTGAAGTTGTTTATGGAGTACTTTATTTTTGTGCACAGAAATTGAGGTTTGCAATATATAGCTTTTTTTTACTTTTTTTTTTTTGGGGGGTGGGGGGAAGGTTTAGAGAAAAGGGACGAGGCTAGAACCCATAATCAACTTCATGGGATAATGAGCTCTTAGTACAAAGTCACTCCCACAACTTTATATATAAATGTTTATTTATTAGATTTTTCACACTTTACAACTTGAAAGATGTCTCTTGATTTTTATTTTACGCTTTAAAAGATTATTTTTCTTACATTGTACCATGAATGTCATAAATTTATTCTAATGCAATCCTCGGACTAACATCTGTTTCAAATTTTATTAAATTTTGATGCACACCCACGCAAGGGCGGAGGCAGGGGTGGGGGCAATTGCCCCCACTAAAATTCTAAAAATTTGTAAGGTTAATTTATAATTATAATGAAAAATTAATTTTTTTAATAACTTGTCCTCAATCATTTTTTTTAATGCACTAAAAATTTAGACTCAAAGTTCGTTCATACTTCATAGAGACTTAATCTCACAATTTTTTATTTAATCTATAGTTATCTTTATTCATTCTATAATGACTCACTTAAATTGCCAAATCAATCATTCTCCGAATTCGATTACTAAGACATACATATATATTTTTGACCAATTATCAAAGTTCAACTATATTACATCATTTTCTAAGATTTTAGATTTGGGCACATAAAAAAATTTGATCTAATTATGATTCAATTCNTACTCTTACTTTACAAGAATAAAGATTGCTCCCCCATTTACTCTACAAGAGGAAGAATGCCTTTTAAGCTCCCAACAAGGGAGTATTTATAGGCAAGGATGGGAAGGGGGTAGAAGATAGACAATGTCTTAGCTAAATTATGCCATTTTGTGATTTTAATGTTTCATCTTTGATGTGTAATGACTCAATCATTTATCCCCTTTCTTTCCTGTTTATTGATTTATAACTTCGCTTCTTTGTTACAGCAGTAAGATTGAAGTTGCATACCAGGAGGCTGTTGCTTTGAAGAGGCAAGAGGAGCTCATTCGTGAGGAAGAGGCAGCTTGGCTGGCTGGAGGTGAACAAAAAGCAAAACGTGTTGCGGCTGAAAAGGAAAAGAAGCTGAAGAAAAAGCAGGTTTGACAAATAAAGTCTTAATTTACATATATTGAGAGCATTCTATCATTATCATGTGGAATCTGTTTCTTTTATGGGTAATTATGCAAGGCATTCCTTTCTGTTCGTGTTACATAGTTGTCCAGTGTGTGAGAATTGCAGTTTAGGAGAGAGATTACAAGGTTGGAAGAGGTTTTCTATCTATGAGCGTGGCAGCCCACTTTGATCAGAGGTGTCTTCATCATTCTTGTTAAATCATGTTGCTTTAGAATCCTGGTATTGGTGCCTTTGGTTTATGGAGGCCATACAGGATTTCCGCTGGACTGGTCCAGTGGAGGAGTTGAGGTACCATATGCTAAACTAAAAACTGATATAATGGTCTTAAAATCAACTGGCTTGGAATTGGGACTAGGCTGTTATGTTCATAAAACAAGCTTCCTTGGGTGAATAATTCTGGAGATTTTCCATGANAATCAACTGGCTTGGAATTGGGACTAGACTGTTATGTTCATAAAACAAGCTTCCTTGGGTGAATAATTCTGGAGATTTTCCATGAAAGGAGATAATTTGCAGCCAAAGTACTTGTTCGAAGGTATGGTGTGAATATGGCTATTCATGGTGAAAAGGGGTACCTGGTGTAATGGGCTTCAGCATTGGGACTATATAATGAATGCTCTTCTAGATCTGTCAGCAAAATCGGAAATTAATGTTCTAACCTTAAAAGGCGTTGACTTAGGAAATGCTGACATGTGGGTCCCCTCTTTTTTTCATTCTGGACAATTTAATGACCAAAAGAAAAAGAAAAATTCTCCCTTTTTAATTTCTGCTGCAGTTGGAGATGGTGCATGGTTGGTGGACAAAGTGGTGAATTGCAGGAATGCCCTGGACACACTTTTGTTATTGGCAAATTATACATTGGGATGTTGAGCTGATGTATTTTGAGGACCGAATCCCAATCAATATTAACAGTAAGGAGATGATGTGATAGTTTTGGAGAAATTCTAATATCCATTCTTTGAAAATCATCTGTAAGGTATTATGGTTAGTGGCAGCTTATAGAAATGAAATTCACCTACGGCTTATTAGCCCAGAATTGCGAAGTAGTCAATCTTATTGTGAACATACATGTATAATACATTTATCTGGTGTACTACATGTGAACTTTTTGAGTTGTTTGCTTCCTTGCTCTTCATCATCAGCTCAAAGACGTTTTTTGATTTCTTTTCCCTTGGGGTTCATTTTATATTTTCATCTTTTTATTACCTAGCACTTATTTTCTCAGTAAGTTTTTTAGATGACTAATGAATTTAACTGCATATACAATTGCAGAAGTAGCGGGTAAATATTTTTCACCGTCTCTTTCTAGAAATATATGTGAAGTCCTAGTGTGGGTGAATAGGACAACTCTAAAAATCTTGAACTTCCTTTGTGGAGAGTCCTTTTGCTGCTTCTCTTTTATAAGTCAAACCTAGGGCATTATGGTCTTTTTAGCTTTTCTCTTACAGTGACTTGTTAGCTCAAGTCATATAACTGTGAGGCAAAAAGGCCAAAGTTTGATCTTGAAGTCCCAGAGGCAGAATAGCCTGTTACGTAGAAGCTGGTCGACCAGGGAAGGGCTGGTCGACTGACCTGTTTCCGAAAGGGCCCCCGTTTTCTGTTCAGTTTTATCCAAATTCAGTTCTATTCAATTCTAACAGACACCAAAGTGTGTGTTTGAAAACATGTTATACAAACACACTGAACAAGGTGTACGTCCACTCTTCTACCACCTTGGTACTACTCCACTATATGGGATGGATTACAAGCGAGCCAATCCACTAGCTCACCACAGATTCAGTGAAGAGTTTCTACCAAGGCTAACCTAAAACCATTGCACAACTCCAGCAATACACCTCTCTGTTAAAACTAAACTATGACTTATATGCCTCTAAATCTAGTGCAAGGTAAATGTGTAGCATGTAAGAGTGTAATTAAATACTAAGTGTATAGAACACGCTTACCTTGAGAAATTGGCCCAAGGGTGTGAAGTACGCCAACTCTCTTTGGGTTGAGGGGCAAAATGGTCTTTATGCCCTTTGGTCTTTAATGAATGTGTGAGAGGGATGGAAACCCAAAATCCATCAGCCTTCAACTATGGAATGAGAAGGATTTATATAGGGCTGGTTCAAATGCGTAGCTCAACTGCTAGTTTGTAGAACCTACAGACCACTGCCCCTAGTCGACCAGCCCTATTCAAGAAGCAAGCAACCTACTGTCAACTCCAAGAGCAAGCCAGTCCTAGGGAATTGTGTCTAACCTACCATTGTGACCTAGTTGACCTAGACACAACTTCCTATGAGCTTGGAATCGTCCGATTGTTGAAGTCGCCCTTTGGCTTGGCTCGGTTTGACCTCAATGTTGACTTTTTGCTTCGCTATTGCTCCAAGTCTTGATACTTGTGTCCGTAGCTCTTCCAATTGATGTCTTCTTTATAGCACATCCTAAAGCCTCAGTATAAGTAGTGATATTGCTAATCTGCCTACGGTCCTAGATCTAACAATATCCTGGCTCCATTTATATTCGTTGTTCTCTAAGTTTACTGAAAATTTCTAAACCTTTTGTGAAAGAATGTAACATGTCTATAATTGATATATCTGGCTGTGTCTCGTTGTTCATGATATGTGGCTGCAAGTGTTTGGTAACGTTCATTAGCATGCCATCCGAGTACCATCCATTATCTGCATTAAAATTATTGTGCTCTTGCTTTGAGGTTTTGATGTCCTTTCTTGTTTTTCATATATATGGTAGTGTTTTCTGTAGACATCATTTAATCATTGTCAACCGTGTACTTAGTATACCCTTCGTCCCCCTCTTTTCCTGCCAACGTATGTATTGCTTTTCCCCATTTTTTTTTTCTTCTCCAGCTCTTTACTTTGAATTCTAATGTGTTTATTATGCTTATATACTTAGGGCAAACAAAAACGAAACAATCGTAAAGGAAGAGATAAAGGGAGGGATGAAAAGCCTGGTGTTATAATACAAGACGAGGTTGAAGAGGAAAGTGCTGGTTATGAAGGAAAGGACTTCTTGACCGAGGAGGCAGGGCCGGTAATTGAAAAGCCTGATACACTTGAAGATGTTTCTGATGTGTCTGATTCAATAGATTGTGCAGCTGAAATACTCCACCCTGATTCAGAAGACAGAGATGCTTGTCCTGTCAACTGGGATACTGACACATCTGAACTGCATCCTCCCACAGACACCACTAGCAGTGGATTAAGTAGCCTTTCAGCTGTACAAAATGGTACAAGAGGAAGGCAAAGTCCATCTGTGATGGATGATAGTTCATCAACGTGTTCCACAGACTCTGTCCCATCGGTTGTGATGAATGGGCCTTATAAAGGAAATTCTATTCCAAACCAAAATTTTCAAAAATTTCCTAGCAGGTAACTTTTATGGTGCACATCAGTTCTGATGTTTTTAGGATATAATATTTGGTACATCGTTTGATCTTGGTGGCTTAACTTTTCAGAGGAAGGGATCAGCATGTGAAGGCTACTTATGACTTAACTGGTTGGACTAGTGACATGCAAAGTCAATCATTTGAAGCTGCGTCAGATGCGGGGCGGCCAAATGATGTATCTGGAAGTTTCAAGGTTTCTGAATCTGAGCCTCAGGCATTGCAGGATCGGATAAAGGTGCTTGAGCAGCATGTGGCAAAGAAGGTGGTAACACAACTGATACTATTGCTCTCTAAAAGTTTTTACGGTCTGAGAATGTCTATGCTAAAGATCTTGCGAGGCTTAACCCATGGAGCATATGTGCAAAAAGGTTTCAATGATCAATGAAAGCATGAATTATTTTATTTTTTTCCCTTATTAGCCTTGTGATTTATGTTTTAAGGTGTTTTGGTTTATATATTTGGGGGAGGGTTGTCCTTATACCATTTTCTCATCGTTCATATGTTCCTTAGAATTGTGTGCTATGCATTTGCTGCATGGAGTCTGGAAGATAGTATGTATACTTCATTTTCGTCTGTTTTACTTTTGTTCTCTAATAATACATTATTATCTTTAATGGACTTAAAAGATGTGATGTAATGACTGTATTCTTTGCAGTTCATTAGGGGGAGGGGACAAAGATAAACAAAAAGGAAAAAAACAAATGTTTAGTTCTCCTTATTCGTTCTTTTAATGTTGCAACTTATCCCTCTTTTGGCTAATTTTGGTTACCTAAGTTTCTCTTTTCACTACTATTTCTGATTATCTGTAATTTTAGGTTTCTATTTTAGAGAGCCACATTATTCTACATTCAGATATTACGTTGATTTTTCTTTTAGTTGGACATTCCTTTGACATTATGATCTTTCCCTGTTGTGCCTTAGGAGGAGGAAGTTGTCTCTCTGCAAAGAAAACTGATTGTTAAAGATGAGGCTCATATAGAAAGACCACCTACAGAGAAGGCAAGAGGACTGCCATCTCCTCCGAGGAGTCCTCCTAAAAATGCGGCTTCATCTGTTCAGACAAAGTTAGAATCAAAGATCTGTGCTGCTAGGGACCCTGTTTCAGTTAGGGAACCATCTTCAGAAAGCCCCAAACAAAATCATAAAACAGCCCGAGTGGTTGTTCCAGCAGAAAATATGGTCCCATTGAGACCCGAAAGTAGACCTGAAAGTCATAAAGCCGCAACTCCAAAACCAATTGAAAAGCCCACGGCACAGCAAGTACCTGTCACAACTGAAAAGCCAGTGGTGCAGCGAGTGCCTGTCCCAGTGGAGAAGTCCATGGCACAGCAAGTGCCTATGATATCGGGGCCCTTAAGCACTTCTGTAATTCTGGAACCCAGGCCAACAGCCCCTGTTGTTACCATGGTGCAGACACCACCATTACTAGCACATTCAGTGAGTGCAGCTGGTCGGTTGGGCCCTGACCCTTCATCTGCATCCCATAGTTATGTTCCTCAGTCATATCGAAATGCTATTATTGGTGGTCCTGTTACTGCAAGTTCATCTGGTTTCACTCAACCTCCTTCTCCAAGTTTATCAGTAAGCTCCTCAAACTCATACACACAGCCACCTATCATGCTATCTGGACCTCTGTTTTTACCGCAGAGTTCTGAGAGAATGGAACCAAACCCGGTCAAACCAAGCTTCTCCTTTGGAATGGCAAATCATGATGTGTTGCAAAATGGACCCCAATGGATGGATTGCCCACGAAGGAATAGCAGCAGAAGCATACACTGTGATCCTTCTTCCCTAGTTAATGACATTCAAAACTTTGACTTGTACAAGCCTGTGCACAGCAGATCACAGGATTACTTCACACCTGAGTTTCCACCCTGTACGTCAGGGCGTCAAACACAGAGTGTGTTGACAGATGAATTTCCACACCTTGACATTATCAATGACCTACTTGATGATGAGCATGGAAGTGGGATGGCATCTAAGGCAAATTCAGGCTTTCAGAGTTTCAGCAATGGACCTCGTCAGCTGAACCGGCAGTTCACTTTCCCGGGTGATATGGGCATGTCAAGTGACATGGGTCCCTCGACCAGCTCTAGCACTTTTGAGCGAACACGAAGTTACCATGATGATGGGTTCCAACGTGGCTATGGCCTTTCTGGAGGTCACTTTGACCCGCTGAGGGATATGATTGCCCAGGCTAGTCCGATGCCTTATGTGAATGGGCAGATTCCAAACCAGTGGCAAATGGTTGGTTCTGATCTGTCATATCTTGACATGAGGAATACGGACAGGGATGGACACACGTATCGTATTCAAGATTATCAAAACCTGGTGTGTGGCGTCAATGGTTATACATTGTTCCGGCCTTCTAATGGACATTGAAAAGGTAACTATGCCAGAGCTTGTTCATGAACTAGTAATTTACTGTCCATTTCAATAATGTATTTGAGGAAAGTGGTGGTCTTTAGATTTGGAGCGAGTTTGTAACCCTTCCATAAAAAAGAAACATTTTGTAAAAAGTGATTCTGCTTTCTTTATTTCGAGCATTAGCTTTTACAGAAATTGTTTTCTTGAGTAGGTTCTGCATGAATGATAGGTCTGTGAGTGGTGTCTTTAATGGAAGAATTTACATTATTAGAAGGTGGATATGTTTTTAATGGAAGAATTTGCAGGTACTAGACACTGTTTGGGTGTTCAAATGGTTTTCATAATTTGCTAATTTGGTGCGTTAAAAGGTGGGGGACATTCAAGACTTCAGTGGCCTTACCTTTCAACTCAGAAATTTGAGGTTCGAAGCTTACCAAAGGCAACGTGTGAAAGCGATGAATAAAGGGTCGTTGTTACTATGATGGCTAAGACCTGATTGGTTGGTTGAATGTTTACACTTGATCCACTCTCTTCATTTCTTAAAGGTCACTCTGAAAATTGAAACAAGAATTGTTACCTCGGTCTGTTGTAGTCAGTTTTACGATGTGGAGGTGACTGGCGAGTCTGTTGTCTCCACAGTGTGGAGGTTTCAATATTGACGGCCTTATTGTCTCATTTCCCAAAAAAAAAAAAAAGAGGGGAGGGTCTAACTCTTAGGCAACTGCTAACCGTTGCACCTTTTGAAAATTAGGTCTATGGCGCACCATTTGGTGACTATATGATCATTAAATATTTATTATTTATCAAATAAATGTATCTTAATCATAATGAGTATTAAATATTATATAAATAAACTCTCTCTAATCAAGTACATTAAAAGATACAGGTCTTAGTCCCTTAGTTAAAGAATTAATAAGCATTGATTCTGTATCAAAATGTTAGATCACAATGTCACTTTTTTTTACAAGATCCCTAACAGAAAGATATTTAATTTTCATATGTTTAGACTCACTAGAATGTTTGTTGTTTTTTGAGAAGAACACAACTGCACTANAATGTTAGATCACAATGTCACTTTTTTTTACAAGATCCCTAACAGAAAGATATTTAATTTTTATATGTTTAGACTCACTAGAATGTTTGTTGTTTTTTGAGAAGAACACAACTGCACTATTATCCCAATAATTGTTAGTGGTCTAGAGATAAAATCAATAATCATAAGTTCTGAAATAAAATTTTTTAATCATATAGCTTGTGTTGCAGTTTCATAACAAGCTACAAATTTAGCTTGCATAGTGGAAGAAGCTGTGAGAGTTTGTTTAACACTCTTCCATCCTATTGCTCCTTCAGCTAACATGAAAATATATCCTGAAGTAGATTTTAAATCATCCTGACACCTAGGAAAATCTAAATCTGAGTAACCAATCATTTCAAGATTATCAACTTTCATATAAACAATAAGTAATTTTTTATTATTTGTAAATATCTCATAACTTTTTTAGCTACCACCCAATTATCTAATCTTGTTTTGGAAAGATATCTGCTAAGAACACTAATTGTAAAAACAATGTTAGGTCTGGTTAAACATATGCATACATTAAACTATCAACAACACTCGCATAAGGTATATTCTTCATAGACTCCTCCTCAAGATCATTCTTGGGGCATTGATTTAGANGAGTAATTTTTTATTATTTGTAAATATCTCATAACTTTTTTAGCTACCACCCAATGATCTAATCTTGGTTTGGAAAGATATCTGTCAAGAACACTAACTGTAAAAACAATGTTAGGTCTGGTTAAACATATGCATACATTAAACTATCAACAACACTCGCATAAGGTATATTCTTCATAGACTCCTCCTCAAGATCATTCTTGGGGCATTGATTTAGACTGAATTTATCACTTTTTACAACAGGTACATCCCCAAACTTATAATTATGCATATTAGTCTTTCAAGTACACGATCTATATATGCCCTTTGAGAAAGTCCCAACAATTTACGACTCCTATCCCGATGAATCTTAATGTCTAACACAAAAAGATGCTTCTCCAATATTTTTTATGTCAAATATTTTGCACAACAATTGCTTACTCTCATGAAATAAGTCCAAATCATTACTTGCAAGCAAAATATCATCAATATAAAGAACAAGAAAAATAAATTTGNATCTTTCAAGTACACGATCTATATATGCCCTTTGAGAAAATCCCAACAATTTACGACTCCTATCCCGATGAATCTTAATGCCTAACACAAAAAGATGCTTCTCCAATATTTTTTATGTCAAATGTTTTGCACAACAATTGCTTATTCTCATGAAATAAGTCCAAATCATTACTTGCAAGCAAAATATCATCAATATAAAGAACAAGAAAAATAAATTTGCTCACATTAATCTTAAGAGATATGCATTGATCCATCTTGTTCTCAACAAAATTAAGAGAATTTACTATTTCATCAAATTTCAAGTACTACTGACAAGAAGTCTATTTGAGACCATCGATAGACGTCTTCAACCTGCACAGTGAATATTCTTTCTCATTCTCCTTAAAATCCTCAGGTTGCATCATATAAATTTCTTCACCAAGCTCACCATTTAGGAAAGATGTTTTTATTTCTATCTAGTGAAGTTCTAGAAAAAATGAGCTACTAATATCATGATGATCCTGAAAGAATTTTTAATAGAGATAGGTGACAAAGTTTCATTAAAATATATACCTTCCCTCTAGCTATACCTTTTTGCTACCAATCTAACCTTAAATCTNTAACATTCACATCTAAAGACCATATTCATTATTGACAGCCTAACATATACTATATAGACCGTCTGATAAAACACAACGACCAACAATTTTAGAATTTAAAGACAACTGATTTTTATCACTACTAAAATTAAAACAATATCCAATTTATCAAACAGGGAAACTGAAATCAAATTTCGCCTAAATGACGTTACATAAAAAGTATTTTCTAAAACAAGTTGAAAGCGAGTGTCTAAATTTAACTTAACAATTCCTATGAACTCAACATGAACTTCATTATTATTTCCTATTGTAAGCTTGACTTCCCTTTCACATGGCCTCCTTGTGCTTGTGAATCCCTACAATGTCATGGCAACATGAACAGAAGCTCTAATATCAATGCACTAAGAATTTAATAAAATATTAACTAAATTGGATTCAAAACAAATAAAGGCTAGTAAATTACCTTCTTATTTATTCTTCTTTTCTAGCCAAGACTTGAATCGAGTGTACTCACTTTTCTTATGACTTCGTTTCTTGCAAAAGTAACAATTGACATCTTTTCAAATGATAGCCTTATGACCTCCCACATTCTGACCAGTGTCATACTTTTTGAAATCTCAACTATTTTTTGGAGTATTATGATTAGGTTTTCTATTATTTTCGTGATACCCACCTTTGAAACTAGATTTAGGCTGAGAAACAAACAAGACAGTTTCACTCCTTTTTTTTTTTTTTAAAGTTTTTCTTCCTCAGAATCATACTTGGAGATAAGGTCATTGATTGTTCAAGACTCATTTTGGGTATTGTAGGCAGTTTTGATTTAACTAAACTTAGGAGGCAAAAAGTTAAGAGTGTGATGAATAATGAAATCATCAAGTATAACAATTTTGAAAGCTTTGAATTTAGTTTGAACATGAACCATTCTAAGGATATATTCCCTAACACTATTTACATTGTCATATTTCATATTCGTTAATTCATTCATTAGGCTCTCAACTTCAGTTTTATTGGATACCTCTCTTTTCTACGGTGATNTATTTACATTGTTATATTTCATATTCGTTAATTCATTCATTAGGCTCTCAACTTCAGTTTTATTGGATACCTCTCTTTTCTACGGTGATAAAGAACTCCTTGATATTTTTGGTTTCAGGTAAACCACTCATAAGGTGTTCAGAGATAGAGATTTTCACGGCAATCATACTTAGTCGATTGGATTTTTTCTACTTTGCATAAAATTCTTTTTCTTTAGGGGAGCTTTCACTAGTAGGTTTAACATGTTCATTCTCTTTTAAAGCAAAATCTATATCAACAATTTTNGATCAAGAATATCACAAATATCATAATCATTTTCTCCAAGGTATACATAATACTCATTAGAAATAACAGGTCTCCTTGGTTTTGTAGACCTTCTCAAAGAAATTTCAGTAGTAGGCACTAAAGGCTGAAGAGTCTCAATAGGAATAGAAGGATCAATTGCAAGAACAGAAGGATTAACAATTGGAGCAGGAAAATTAACAACAGAAGTAGATATAATATTCTCTTGCACAATGGGTAANTATAATTTATTAAGAGAGTCCAAATACATCACTATAAACTCTTCTTTGGGTAGAAAACGCAAAATGCTATAGGTCATCTCTTTTATGAAACTAACCAATGAGAATGTTCAAGTTTCGAAAATTTATTTCCTGTGGGCAGATAAACCTTTTAAACTATTGCACCTCTACCACAATATTTTATGACATTTCTAAATTACAATACACAATAACTCCTTTTAGGCAGGTAATTGTATATTATAATTTAGAGACCATCCCGTAACAAAAGCATAAGAAAAAATTATAAATTTCAATGAATGTACCACTTTGATGGCAACCATCCATCTTAACTCATAAAATTTTTCAAACAGGAATATCATAACAAATTGTCCATAATTAAATATCATGTGATCAGTCGATATGTGGTACTAACCAATATTTATCTCTTTAGATCACCCATCATCATCGTTGCATTTAGGTCTATTCTATTTTTACTATTAAAATTAAGTAATTTAAATTAACATCTATCAACATTTAATAAATAATTTGTAGATCATTAAAAAAAAAAATTCATCGTATAAATCATTAGGGACTAAAATTAGAATTATACAAACACCCTCTACAAATTACAACAATGTAATCAAAGTTACATCAACATGAAAAAATAATTTGTATAGGTAAAACATGTATCTATTCATCGATATGATCCATGAATAATTAATGATTATTTAATAGAAAAGACACAAGTAATAAAATAACAATTCCACCATTATAACATAAAAAAAAATGATATAGGGGTTGTGAATATAAAATTTATTTGATATTTAGATTTAATCCAAATCAAATCCTTTAGTCAAATTATATANCAACATTCACATCTAAAGACCATATTCATTATTGACAGCCTAACATATACTATATAGACCGTCTGATAAAACACAATGACCAACAATTTTAGAATTTAAAGACAACTGAGTTTTATCACTACTAAAATTAAAACAATATCCAATTTTATCAAACAGGGAAACTGAAATCAAATTTCGCCTAAATGACGGTACATAAAAAATATTTTCTAAAACAAGTTGAAAGCGAGTGTCTAAATTTAACCTAACAATTCCTATGAACTCAACATGAACTTCATTATTATTTCCTATTGTAAGCTTGACTTCCCTTTCACATGGCCTCCTTGTGCTTGTGAATCCCTACAATGTCATGACAACATGAACAGAAGCTCTAATATCAATGCACTAAGAATTTAATAAAATATTAACTAAATTGGATTCAAAACAAATAAAGGCTAGTAAATTACCTTCTTATTTATTCTTCTTTTCTAGCCAAGACTTGAATCGAGTGTACTTAC